TACTGAGACTCTTGTTTAACAGAACTTCTATCCTCTGCGATATAATTATTAAAATAATACTTATTACGCAAATTTTTCATTACCTTTTCTGTTAACTAAGAAAAAGAAGTAACTTTTATAAAATACCGATCCGGCTCGAAGGACCTCTTTCGATCCTCTGTGTTGTTATTAAATTATTACTTATTTTTAATTACCAAACTGTTAATTGAGTAAAGGAATCAAGTTTTATAAAATTTCTATCCGGCTCGAAGGACCAATTATTCGGGATTTTTTTTTAATTAATTAAGTCAACTTAGTGCGCATAAGCATCAAAAGTCTGTAAACTCTACTCTTGCGACCGCGCCCCCGTACCGCGCAAACCCTTACGACGCCAAAGTTAGTACCACACAGGAATATTTTCTTAATTTAGTTAGTAGTGAAAAAAAGGTAGAATTTTCTACAATTATTTCCAACTTACTTGATGAATCATTAGCCAAGAACAGGTCCCATATTTTCTTTTCAATATTTGAACTTAAAGTGTTAGGATCACCATTACTGGATTGGACTTTAGACCGGATTGTTGATTTTTTATCTGCCCAATACTGAAAAAAAAAATAGCAGGATTGAAAATAGTCTATATATAATAGTCACCTATCATGCACGTATTGCTGTTTTTTTTAATGAAATGAACAAAAAGGAGGATGAACAATTTAATTTTATTAAGGGTAAAGTGAATTTGGATAAAAAAAATTACCTACTTTAACCCAAGATTTCATAGGTCTATTAGGTCCACCAAGACTGTTGATAATCTTTGTTAATTTGAACCAAAGCTTTTTGCATTCATCCCTCTTCTCCAGACCTCTCATTTGGCCCAACCCTAAAGCAGGATGTTTCTCCATGAAGTCCACTATTGCAATTACTTGCTCTAGACTGGGCCTTGACTGAAAATACACAAAATAAGTAAATTTAATAAAGGAGTTGATATATAATTTAAAACAAATTATATTTCTATAGTAACATAAAATAACATCAATAATTAACATTAACTTAAACAGCATTAAGCAATTAATAGCAATCTTAGAAATAAATTTAGAAATTAAAAATAATATTTTTTTAAACACAATTACTAATTTATTTCAAATGCCTATAGTAGTGGATCCACTCCCGCTCCCGCCTACCTTCGAGATGAGAACTTGAAGTAATTTCACTCGAATTAAAATATTAACATGTTTTGTTTTAACTTATAAAGCGTCACTCACCGCAATAGAACGATCCGTCATTTTCTGGATATACTTCAAGGGCGTGTATTAAAAATAATAGACTTTTTTGTATAACTTTAGTATAAAAGTTCTTTGAAATGTTTAAATTTACTTCATTTCGAATCGAATTCACATACTTTGTTACTATTTTCGTAACAAAATTTCGCTCGATAGCGATAGTTTACGACAACCATTGGTTGGGGTAAAGCTGTACACAGATAAACGAAATTAAAAAATATTAAAAACACGACAAAATAATTATGTGAAATAATGCTTACTTTACATTTTCTTGTTAAGAAAGGCAAAAAAATGTTCTGCATTGACAAATAAAATAAAAAAAATTGGTACCATCGTTAATTCGCTGTTTAAAAATTGATTGTGGAAGAAATGGATATGATTAATCATTTCCTTTCTTAGCATTTGTGTTGAAATCATCGTTCAGGTTTCAGATGAACATTATTTTATTTAAATTAAAACTTGATATTACCTATGTGAGTTTGGAGAATTAAAAATCGTAACCAAAACTTGACTCCTATTGTAGCTTTGTGTTAATGACAAAGTTGTTATCTTACATCAAAACATTTTTATCTGTATTTCAAGTCTGTTCTGTTTGTCAGTTGTCATTGACACTTGTCAAATGCGATTTGTTATATTGTAGGACGCGGAGATTTTTAATTTATTAATGTTTGTATCAAATTCTGCTAATTAAAAGTGATAGTTTAATCATAGAAAATACTCCATCACCATATTTTCTATGAAATTGTAGTAGTGGGAAGAAGTTACATTAAAATATATCATTTTACCAGTCTTTTCCAAATAGAACGAATATGCACAAAAATTTCTGAATTACACAAAAATGGCTAATTCTGTAAACATATCTATTGAGGCTCCTATTGAAAATCAAATACAAGAAATAACTTACGATGGCCAAGAAATATATCAGGCGTAAGTACATGCAAATTCTATTATTACTAAAAGAACCTATTTAGCTAGTTATTTTCTTTTAAAAACAATGTTAACGTTTTTCAGACCTTTGTCTATGTCAGAAAATCTAGCAAGATTAGCACAGAAGATCGATTTTTCGAAAACTGATGACGAGTTTTGCAATATTAAGAAAGAAGGTGAGAATAGTTTGGAGTTAAAATCAGAGGATGATAACAAGGAACCGGGGTATCAATCGAGCCTGTGGCCGTGGGATTCTGTGAGAAACAAATTGAGGAATGCTCTCACTGAAGTCAGTGTACTTGCCGATGTGTTGAGTATTGCCAAAGAGAAGAGATATATGGTAAGGTTATTTAATTTATAAAAAATAATGATTAAAATTATCATCAACAACTAGATATTGCCCGAATATTGATGTTTTGACTGTATATCTAAAGTTTTGTTGTATACTTTTTTTTTTTATTATTTAAAAAATATTAGTAGATTTTTGTTAATTAACTACTAACCATTCCAACTAAGCTCTAGGCTTGTGCTAGTATATATGTTTACTCAGTTTTACTTGTACAAAAGTTTAGCAGGGTAAAAATCTTAATTTCAGGTGTTAGATCCTATCCAAGCAGATCAAGTTGACAGCAGACCCATGGTGCAAGTGTACGGTCGAAAAAAGGCATTAAGTGCCGCAGGTGCCGTTCTCCTCGCAGGAGTAGAACGACTGCGTGCCAGCGAAACAATGAGGATGACCCGGAATATGCCTGATTTTCATATTGATTTGTTACGACTCCGACAGAATTGGAGATTGAAGAAAGTATCCAATACTATAGTAGGAGACTTAAGTTATAGAACTGCAGGCTCCAAATTCAGTCAGACGGGAGTTTTTGAAGTAATTTTCCATGTTACAGTTATTTGTTGCTTACAACTTCTCCTTCGTGTAATTAAAAAATAATAAAAAGCAGCCTATGTTACTTAATGATAATATAACTTGTTAATAGTGAAAGAGTTTTTAAAACCGGCTCGGAAGTTTTTGAGTTATTTCAATACATACAAAATTCTGAATATCCATAAAATACAAATCTTTTTTCTATAATATTATCTATACTAACATCACTAATATCTTTAGTTAATCAACTAAGCTAATAAACTTTATTTAATAATGATCATTTGTCCACTTATCAGCTTTTATAACAATTACAATTTTGGTTAGTAACAATATATACTATTTCCCAGGTAACAAAAGCTCCTGAAGAACAGATAGCACAAGCAATGAGTATGAATGCATCTGGACCTGCGCCTTCCGCATTGAGAGTCACCGTTCCTCCGGAGTTACAAGGAGTGGCATTCATCTCTGTACTATGTCAGAAAGGTACATTTATGACCAATTTAACAGTAAAATGTATTTTATTTGAATGTAATTTCGTTCAACGATTTACGAATTACTAAATTAACATTTTTGGTTATAATTTACATGGATTTTAATTTTTAGGTATAGCTTTTTTAAATTCACTTAAAAGTATTCTTACAATTTAGTTTAGATAAAGAGATGCAATAAATGATTCAAATGAAATATATAATGACAGTCTATTGGTATATTGTCTATGGTTGTAAAATATTCTAGCATATTTGACTAATTTTTCTTTTACTATTCCAACTATTAGTAAATTAAGAAAAATCTATTTGTATTTAAGAAAAAAAAACAGTAAGTTCAAAGATAAAGACATGAGATAAAGTCATAATTTCGTGCAATTGAATATTTTTAATTCTTAATAGATTACTAAATTACCACCCAATTTAAATCCATTTTAGAGCAAGAAGATGTAGTAACAGCTACTCTCAGTTCATCCGCACTGAACTGTCCCAGCACACTCCTCGGAGACGGAGCAGATTTGCATTGGCAACAAAAGTTGGAGGCCGCACAGAATGTGTTGTTCTGTAAGGAACTGTTTGCTAGACTCGCAGCGGAGGCGGTACAACTAGACGCTTCTATACCGCACATGGTTGTTGGCAATCAGATTATGGCTACGGTAAGATAAGTTAAGAAATGTAATTGACTAGTTGTTGCTCGCGACAGCGTCCGTGTGAAATAATAAAATATAGCCATTGTTACTGCTATAACATAGTTTGTAATAGGTGAAAGTTTGATATCTGCCGAGTAGTTTTTAAGTTATTTCTTTTTTTTGTAATTTTTTTCTCTCTAGGTTCTTCCTGGAATTCAGTTGTTGATTGGTCTCTGTCACAATAATGGTCAAAATAACAACAACAATCCGGACGGAATAAAGGTAATTTTAAGCAAATAACATAATGTTATTTTAACAATAAAGCAAAAAACCCTACTGACTAAATTTAATTTATGATAATACCTCAAAATTTCGAATAAACATGAAATAAAAAAGTTACAGTGAGTAAGATTCAAATATTGCTTGATAATTATTTTTTTAAGTTCCAGTTCTCGTATACTCTGTAGGTGTTTTGTGATATACCCTAAAATACTAAGGAAAGAGACAAACTGACACCCAGCCATTTGGCAGCTTACGGACTGACTGTAAATTTATAAATGCGATTTTGTAATCAACAACACAAATACACCATCTTTCCGAAATCTGGAATTTTTCCTTCAATATTACAGACATTCCAATTTTATTATATGTATAGATTAGTTATTTAAAAAAAATTGAATTTGAGCAGAGTGAGGGTTCCAGCGGGAAGTCCGAGCACGACCACGTGCTGGAGCACTCCCTGCACCAGCTGCTGCGCGCCGTGCACCACAACAACACGCACCACCCCTTCCCGCACCCCGCCACAGGACCCCTCGGACCCTCCAAGAGGCGCTCCCTCGCTGGTAACGTACCAACTCAATAGTGGTAGGGCCCACTTTTACTCGCAATGTAGGGTTCACCCACACCAATATAACCACACAGTAAAAACAATTCTGGGTACATTCTGATGAGCCAGACGCCTAATTTTAGTCCCTTTTCATCCTCTTCTTATGAGGGTGGAAAGGTAAAATTTAATGGAGACGTATAGGGCAAATATCCCCTTATGTACATCTTTATTGATTAAGGGTAGTTGCAGATGTCTATTATGTGGATGTCACTTTATTATATAGGATGTCAGCAATCACAGTTCAGTTTCTTTCGAAAAGTTCCTAGTCATAAAGCATTTTGGACAGCTAAGAAATGTGTTTTAAATAAACTGCAAATCCAAATTTCATAACAAATTTTGTTTTAAAGACATAAATCTCCAAAAAATATTTAAGTGAAATCTTTCCTTAGCTCTTTTTTTTTTATTTGGACAGATAATTGATATTTTTCAGCCTTATCACCTACTAACGCGCGTCGAATTACCTGTAACCGTGTATTCAATACACTGTATTGTCACTTCTCTAGGACCAATGGCTGCGGATAGATATGAACTGTTGGACATGACCAAAGAACAATCGCTATTGGAGCAAATAATACAACAAGCTCAGCATTTCTTCATGCGCAGGCGCAGTGAATATGTCCTGGATACTATTGCTAAAGAGGTTTGTATTGTGCTAAATGTAATTTTTTATTAAAATTTATAATGTACCTTTTGCCGGCGACTCCGTCTGTGCAGAATATAAAAAAAACTTGATTAAATAGCCCATGTATTCTTACAGACTATATTCTACATGTGTCAATTTTCAATTATACCATTTTGCAACATTTATATTAGTAAGGTTTAATTAATATATTGATGAATCTAACATTTACCAGGTAAAAGACCCCTTGATAGTGTCACATTGGAATGCACTGAACAGCCCAACGCAGTCCTGTGTCAAAATAAACATCATAGCTTTTGGGTGAGTAGATCTTTATAACTTGTATTAAGTCTTACATCACCAGCACACTATATGTTGTAAGGGGCATGGAGACTACCCTTAGGGGTAACTAGGCCATAGTCAACTACCGGTCCACTGCGGGTTGACTTCACAGATTTCTTTGAATTTCTTTGCCGATATGTGCAGGCATCATGTTTTCCTTCACCGTAAGAACGTCGGGTAAATTATGTACATATGAAATACATGGTGGGATTCGAACCCAAGACCTGTAGATTACAAGTCAAGTGTTTAAACCCCCGGGTGTTGGTTAAGTCTTACTCTGTGTCAAATTGTCCCTTACTGTGTGTATAATTGTGGTAGTT